TTTCTTCAAGACTGGTCATAACTTTTTAAAGTCAGTTACAAAAAGTTAGATTGGCCCAATCTGAGTCAGAAAATAGTTCCCAAGAGGACTTGGGAACTGTTAACATTAAGACTGTCTTAACATAGTGGCTATGTTTATGCAACTGGCCCCTGCTTTAAATAGCTTGAGTATTTGAAGCGGCAGACAACAAAACTGCAGCACGTTTATAATAAACAGAATGTTATTGTCCATTGGTCTGGACGCTTTGTAATCTTTATAGTTCGTATTGTGAATGGTCCTTAACTCATAAGTGAACAGCGAAATACTAACACATCACAACTATAAAAATATAAGTATAACATCAAGGAACGATATCGTGGGAATCACTTTCAGACCTTTTTTTTCCCAATAAAACCATCGACAGCCAATCAGAATCCATCTTGACTTTAAAGAGCACGAGCGTTTAAGTGGCAGATGACGTTATCCCTTGGGTGTGCCGATTGTCTTAAGCCTGTATGGAATCACGCCAATTCATTGGCTGATGGCGCGGGTGTCACCACAACGCCACAAGGTCGCCACTCTAATACTAGCGACCACACCATCCGCTACTCAGATTTCCTTCCATCAGAAGTGGTCGTTTAGCCCTTCAGAAGCAATTTATCTGGCCCGTGTTTCGGCTTCTTTCTCTTTTGCACTTTAGCAACTGCATTCAGTGAAACCTCGTTTCTCCTCGCGGTGAAGTGCTATGGAGTTTCGTCGCTGCCAGCCGGCGTGCTCGAACTGCATAGTAAGTTTTAAATGTATGGGTTTGTCTTTTTACGGTGCTTTTAACTGTAATTTTGTCTCAAAACTCTTCACACAAGGCTCGCGGTTTTTGAGAAGGAGTCATCCGTTTCCCCCCGTCACGCTGCTTCAGAGGCCACTGAGGCCCTCCATGAATCTGCGGCCTGGGGTTCGGATGTGGAGCTCGAGGCTATAGAGAGTGAGCAGATGGGCCTCACCCTTTCTCTCCCTCTCTCGCCTGAGTGCTCTCGCGCAGATTCGCAGATGGAGTTCGGTAGTGCGTGCTACCGAAAAGCTTAATATTGAGTGGTCGGACGAACTGCGTGAGTCCCAGTCCTCTGAGCTCGACGAGTGCTTCTTGGGCGGCCCTAATTCTCGTCCCTCATGAAGAAAGCTGCCATTTTTCAGTGATCTGCATCACAAAATCTCCAGATCCTGGAAGCAGCCTTTCTCTGCTTGCCTTACTAATGCTGACTTCACCAACCTAGTGGGTTCTGTGGAGCAGGGTTATGCCGCTGTTCCAGCAATCGAGCTTTGTGGTTCTCGGAGCTAGTCTCCCTTCTAGAGCACACCCCATGGGAGATTCCAATCAGGAAA